GTGTTTGAGATCCTGCAAAGTTAGTCATTAGGGTGGCTGGGGTTTATAAAGGTTAGATTATAAGGTGTTCTAGGATTTTTTTAGGTCCATGCCTGATGATATGAGGTCTTTACGGATCAATTCTCTTAACATCACGATGTGCTTCGAGGTTAGCTTTCTAATGGTTATAGGTATTAGTAAACTCATTTTTCATGTAATTTTAGGTTATCATACATTATTTCATAAGATTATAATGTTATTTTAGATTAGTTCTAACAAGTTATAAGGTTAACTAATGTTTGTGCGAATGACTATCTGGTCACTAACAACTCGATTCTCAATATATTCAAGGTTCTATAAGCCTAGTCTCAAATGTCTTTAAATTCTTTATGACATTATTCTCAAGGGTTGTACGATTCTATAAGTTTTGTTTCATTGCTAATTTAGTCCTTTTAAAGTTTTGAGATCGTTTGTGTTTATTTTACGATAATTTTAAAATCCATTATGTTAGTCTTCCAACATTTTGAGAATTTTAATGAGATAAAAAATTTCAAGGCTACAATGTTTTTCGTTGTCGCTCTTAAAAAAAATATATATATTATAAATTGAGTTTCCTTTTATAGTTGTAATATTACATTTGTATTTGTTGAAACAGTACGTTGCACTCTAGTTATTGATAAAAAAAACATTAAATGATTCCTACATATCACAAATAAGCCCTTAATGGACTACCATATAAATGCAATGAACAAATATTTTCTTTAATTGTAAAATTATTTTATAAGTTTATAATGAGTTAGTTAGATTTTTGTAGTCGACGTAAGATATTTTGTTCAATGAGATAGATTTTGCAATCAATGTGAAGCTAAAGAAAATAAATGAGGTGGCCAAAAAATAAACAAATCTCACGATGTGTGAAAGTTGGGCTTCATTTCCTTGTGGAAGAATTAAAGTTACTTGAATAAGGAGAGACATTTTTAGTGTATCAGTATCGAGTCTCCAATTTACATGACCATTATCTTCGAGTATCTACCTATTTAAGTAATCTATCTCTTAGTTTTTATTTTTTGGTTATCTAAATTTACTTACGTTATGTATTGATTTAGAACAATGATTATACATACTAAATTTTTTTCAAAATGATTAAATTGATATTAAAATATTAATTAATTTGTTTCATATATTTGTACTGTAAATTAATAATAAAATTTGAACAATACGTAAAATAAGGCGTAAACAGGGCATGAATGTTGTTAATTTACTAAATGATTAAAATTATAATTTAATATTTTAGTCGCAATTTCACTCAATAACTAGTATTTTAGTTGTAAATTTTGTTTAAAGACAAATGCATGTGGTACTAAAAAGATAACATTTGAACGACTGCTAATTGAAGATTTTTGTTTGCATTTTTATTTCTTAAACATAAAAAGCATGTAAATTTTGATGAAAGTACAAATAAAATTTAAAATAACAAAATAGTTATAACATGACTTTGAAAATATTTTTAAAATTATTTATCAAATATATTTTTTTTATACAAGAGAATTAGTCAAAATTAATAACGCAGTATAGATTTCTCTCTTGGGTATTACACATTCTAGATCAATAGACCCCGATAATGTCATCTCTAATAATACTCATAAGCTCCTTAGGAAGATGCTATCAGTGGTAATTTTTAGGAAGGTTGTGAAAGACATGCTTCACTAAATAGTAAGCACACTGATTTTCTTTACGATATATATATTATATCTTAACAGTTCAATCTTTCATAAATAAACTATTTATAGCTATAATAAGGTTGAAATTAATATTAATAACGATCATTTCATTATTAAGAACTTTATTTATGAACTGAACGATGAGAGCACTATCCATCTTCATAATAATATGACGCGATCTAAGGGTCCATGCTAATGCAGGGACATTTGACGCCCCCCATAACTTAGCTTGAAGGATAAAACAAACACCAATATTTCGAAAGTGCCTCCCAAGCCATAAACCATTACTATCCATATCAAGTGCACCAGCACATGTAATCTCACTGTCACCATAGAGGGCCCCGTCTGTGTTGATCTTGATACAGTTATGGGGCATCAGAGTCCAACTGATGAACTTCTCATTCTTTCGAATACGTTTGCTATAGATAGTTCGATACTGTTTCATTTTTCTTCAACTGAACTAGCTTTAAAATGTTCCAACGTGCTTAATTTCCATTTAATTTTATTTCAAGGCCATAAAGCTGTTATCTCCAAATTAAGAGAGATTATGGAAAGTGGATAATGTATTTTCCTAAAAAAATCATTGTATTATTTAATAACAATTTTAATTTTTTTTATATGTTCAATTTTTGTTTTGTGCATTATAGGCTGTCTTTCCCTCCAATATGGTATGTTTTGGGCCTCTATCCTAAATATGATTATTTTGTCATATTTAGATAAAAATTATGAGGAAAATACATATTAAAATAGATAAAAGTAAAAAAATATTTTGTAATTTAAATAACTAATTGAAATAAAAAAGGAAAGTAAAAAAAAATTGACTTCCCACCTTTTATGTGGTACTTAATTTATCTAAACAAATTATATTTTATCAATAATTTATGGATATATACACACTTGAATTATTAAGAAGAGTTTATAACTATTATAATCAATAGAATTCTAATAATTATTTTTAGTTTAATACGTGGTAATATAATTTTATAATACAACTGAATTATTTATTTATATTTATTAATTAAGTTTCACAAACTAATAAATAATTTATCTGTCAACGAATGAAATTAATAGTAGAATTAAGAAATTTAAAAATATTATGAGTCTATTATTATTTTTTTCTTTAAAAAATCAGGAGCACAGACTCAAATTGAAAATGGAAACTGAAAAGATTTGGGTATGGCGCTCAAAACCCATAAATTAAAAAACCATAATCGCAAGCGCTTTTCCTATTGGTCAAAATATGAAAGACGCGGATCGAATTTAAATTACTCATATCCGTCGATAAGAAAAACATCCAACGGCTCGTACGTACGACGGACAAGCCCCCGGGAACTGCTCTATAAAATCCACGTCGACACATTCCATTTCGCAATCTCAATTGAAGAATCCGTTTTTATTTTCAGAGAAAAAAAAAAAAAATCTTCTTCTAGGTTTTCCGGCGAACTAGTCGGGTTGTTGTAGTTGAGTTGGATTGAGCGTTTTTCTACTGGAGATGGATTCTGCAACTAAAGTGAAGAAAGGTGCAGGAGGAAGGAAAGGAGGTGGGCCAAAGAAGAAGCCAGTTTCTAGATCTGTGAAAGCCGGTCTTCAGTTCCCCGTCGGAAGAATTGGGCGGTACTTGAAGAAAGGCAGATATTCCCAGAGGGTTGGTACCGGAGCTCCAGTTTACATGGCTGCCGTCCTCGAATACCTAGCTGCTGAAGTAATTTCTATGTTCTTTCATTCTTGGGTTCTTTGTTGGTTGATTTAGGGTTTCTGAATTGGCGGTCTTGTCACTAATTTTTCTGATTAATTTCCGTTTGGTTGCTGAGAAAATGTCTGATTAATTTCTGTTTGGTTTCTGAAAAAATGTGTATAGACTACTACGTTATTCCACCGCTTTTAACGGACCGAATCCTTGGGCCAAAGTAAAATCTGTTTTAATTAAATTCATACTGCTGAAATCGAATTAATGTTTTAATGATTTGTTCTACTTGATTTTGTACAGGTTCTCGAGCTTGCAGGCAATGCAGCTAGAGACAACAAGAAAAACAGAATCAACCCTAGACACGTTCTTCTGGCAGTAAGGAACGATGAGGAGCTCGGAAAGCTGCTTGCCGGAGTCACCATTGCCCACGGCGGTGTTCTGCCCAATATTAACCCGGTATTGTTGCCTAAGAAGAGTGAGAAGGCAGCTGCAACCAAGGAATCCAAGTCTCCATCCAAGGCAACCAAGTCTCCCAAGAAGGCTTAGGTCTGAATCATCGGAGACCACAAGTTGGGTGTATCTTTTGACTTGTTTAGTTGTATGTAATTTTGGGTCTAGGACCTTTTTACTGCCGTTACTGAATTTAGGAAGAGGGGAAAGTGATGAAAT